ACCCTGGGCGACTCGGCATTTTTGGGCGACAATTGATCTTCCGCTCTGGGTGATTATAGGATGTTTTATTCGCTCTGCAGGCTTGGGCGACGACGTACCTTTGTTTTTGGGCTTTCATCATATTTAATGATATTTCTGGTTGAGCTTTTACCCTGATCTCTCTAGATGGGCTTCTTTTCTTGGGCCATTTGAATTGAGCTGAATATTTTGTGTGTCAACACTATGAAATATATGGTATTAATTTTGACTTGAATTAAAATCTAAATTTTAATTCCTATTATACGAACTTGGTGACATTGTATATTGTATATTTTTCAGCGCGAGTAATATTATTTAGTATTTCTGGTATTACAACATCACAATTGTCATTAAATGTATAATTAAATTAATAACATAATTTCACATTTAATTAAACATATTAAATAATGTCATATTAATTGATGATAAATATCATTATTCTTTCTAATATATAAAACTATGAATCTTATGAAATAAAAACAATATTTGATCCACTTAAAAGCTTTTTGAACTTGGGAGAAGAAAATGACTATAGCAACCTTAAAATTTTGTTGGACAAACCATGGCCACTAAAAATTAAGTGCCCCACGAATGCAAAGGGCCCAAGTGAAAACGATCCTTGCGTCGCCCGAATCAGAATGGCGTCGAATTCACACCCTAACTCGACATTAACCCCTGTACTCTATATTAGGTGTAGCTTTATTACTCTGTGCAGTCACAGTGGGATCCATTCTCAAGGCCTGGGAAATGCTGACACTAATATCACCCGCATCACCGTCATTTGTGTCCGTGCATAAACTTTCTGTCGCATCGAAACCCTTGTCGGGTCCTATTGCAATAAACTTTTCGCGCAATTCATCTCCCAGTAGAACAATCAAGAATCAGCTTTCTGTGAATTCGATTTCTATGGCATCTGCTGCGACTGTTGAAACTGCTACAGCTCCTAAATGGGCTCAGAAGACTGTAACTATTCCTGCCCAGAGACGAGGCTGCCATCTCATTACTTCAAAGGTCTGCAACTCTTGGTTTTTTGCTCCAATTCGTTTCT